ACGTGCCCGGAGCTCGTATCGCCCTCCTCCCATTTTTGCAGAGATCTACACGCTGATGGTGTTGCCTGCGAGACGCAGGAGACGAAGACTCTGGAGCATTCGCCCGATGTCCCCGTTGATGGGGTGGTTGAAGTAAACAAATCAGAAATTGGCGCAACTACCTCCACTGTGTTGCAGAAGCTGATAGTGGTTCACTCGTTTGTAACTGTACCCCAGAAATCAAATCAGCACATGTAGCGCAGAGATCATCGAGATGAACTGTGATGGGCACATTACTGTGCGAGCACTAGAAGAAGCGCTGGGCTATAAAGCAGAGAGTAGAATTGGGAGCTAACAACGCAGAATTCCCTTCATATGGCATTGATCGCTATGGCATTCCCACATTTCGTTCAAGCGGGGACCTATTTATTACATGTCCTCCTAGCCGCAGCAGGTTTTTGGCCTTCACAACTGAGGCCGAAAATTCACTCGGGCTCTGTCTTGACGGAAATTTTTATTCGAAAATCGGATGACAGGTAGCCGATAAATTGGGATGCCATAGTGTTCCTAAAAGTACACCAATCGTAAAAGTAGAGAATTGGATTTGTGTACAGCCAATAGATACTGAGCTGACCTGTTCTCACGCAAAATGTTGAACACCGCACTTTTTCTACTCTTTTCATTCTTTTGCAACCATCACACATAGGAGAAGTCGGGTCGATTGTGTGTGTGTGTATGTGTATGTGTATGTGTATGCGTATGTGTATGTGTATGTGTATGTATGTGTGCGTATGTATGTGTGTATGTATGTATGCGTGTATGTGTGTATGTGTGTTTCCTTAACTACGGTTTGGGTATCGGTAATATTCTCTTATTACTGACTTACTGACATGCTGAAGCTGTTCTCCTTACATTCCCATAAATGTCGCACAATGGTCTTCCCAGGCCGTTCCCAACTAGTTATGGACGGTCATTGTTGGTCGGAATTTCTGTTATTGCTGCTTACTACTGCGACAGATCAGTCATTTTATTTAAGACGATCCGGATCTGAATCCCTCATTTCATATTCTATCGTCAGAAATGTGAAGGGAATGTTATTCGATGTGATGCTTTGCACTTGCACGTGCAAAACAACAGTGCAACCTCAATGTGGGTGGAGCCCTGTGCGTGCGGCCACAACAACGCGAGTGCCATGGTGATCATTGCTATCATACGCTCAGTGAATTCGTGCCAGCAGCTGCAAGAGTTGCTGTTTCCACGTTACGCGTTTGGCCTACATTTCTTCTTCTATTGTCTTCTCATTAGTTCTTGAGATCGCTGTGGTAGAAGCTGCCTTATTCACGTAGAAATGTTAATATCGAAGTACGTTAAACGTCTGTAGATTTTAGAATCCACATTAGCAAAAGAAACGGTGGAGTCACAGTGGTTGAGGGCGTTATGAGTGGCGCTATTGACTTTTTATTGTTGCCACTTCCGCCCTCTTCCTTACTGAAAGAAAATTCTAATCTTTCCGAAGGTCACAGTGCCGGGATTCAACGGCCACAACCAAGTTTTGTTTTTGTTTGCGACGCGGCTGCAGTGTTATAGTCCCTTTTCTTGAATTTCCCTTCAACCTTTCGTTTATAAGCGGTGCTGACAATGGAGTTGTGGCTTATGCCCCGAGCAGTGAACCGTTTGATGCGAGAAACTCTGCGAGATCTCGATCGCTTTGACAGGGGAATGTTTCCCTATTGGAGAGAGGCCGACCATTCAGTTCTGCATGTGGGTAATGAAACCCAGCAGGTGTGGTCAGTTTCACAAGCTTCTATATAGCCGTAAAATCGATTGCCTATTGTCAATTCTAGATGATTAACGATGACAAGAAATTCGCCGTATCCCTGGATGTGTCGCAATTCCGTCCCGAGGAGCTGAAAGTCCACCTTGAAGGAAGAGAGCTGACTATCGAGGGCAATCAGGAACACAAGAGCGAGGATTGCTTCATGAATAGGTGAGTTCTATTACATGCAGGAATCACTTTTGTGTTCATCTTAACAGTTAGCACGCAGACCCATTATAGGCCAATAGGTAGATCAATGTAGAGTCATAAGTCGCCACTCTATAGTGATGCAACCACATTTTAGGACCTTTGTTCGCAAGTGGACTCTTCCGGAAGATGTCGATGTAGATGCGCTTAGAACCCAACTGACCGACAAAGGTCATCTGTGTGTTGAAGCACCAAAGGTTGATGAAAGCGGATCGAAGAAAAGAAATATCCCAATCATGGCAGCTCCATCTAGTAAATGAACCCATGCAACACTGTTTTTATCGTTCAGTTATTCTCATATGGATAAAGTCGTACTGTGCTCATAGTCAGACTTCCATGATCTCGTGCAGCTTCTGCCGCTGAATTACCAAAGTAGAGACGCAGAATATTCGACGCATACTAAATAGTGTGTAGATATAGGGATAATAATCACAATCTTAACCCTTTTTATTTACTGCCTTTTCTTTTTAATGGCAGGGTATGTTGCGAAATATAACTCGTATATAGTGCTGAGATATTTGCAAAACACCAGGACCGCAGGTGTATGCGGTGGGGCAAAAAAAACGAGAGACAGGCAAAGCGAAGGACCCGGATGGTGTGGTGGTGAACGCGTTACTCTCCGGAAAGGACAATAGCGTGCGGTCGTTCCCCACCGCATACACCTGCGGTCCGGAGCTTCGCAAATATCTCAGCATTATTTCGAAACCGACTTTCCTTGAACCTCGGTATCACTAATCGATATGTATTCTTTCTTTGATGAGCTTACTTACACGAGGTTGATAATGATGTTTATTTTCGGCGAACGTTTCGACGTCTTCGTCTTCCTCAGAGCCGATGATCCGAGTCGATGGTCCTCGCTTGTTATTCGTTTCGACGTGGCTGCTTCGCTTTCGTGTCGAGTCAGGTCTTCTTCGGTGAGCCATCTTCTCGAATGAGGCATCCTTACTCAGTGATGCCCTTTTATACACATCACTGAGTAAGTATATAAGTGTATAAAAGGGCATCACTGCGTAAGGATGCCTCTCATTCGAGGAGATGGCTCACTGAAGAAGACCTGACTCGACACGAAGGCGAAGCAGCCACGTCGAGACAAATAACAAACGAGGACCATCGACTCGGATCATCGGCTCTGAGGAAGACGAAGACGTCGAAACGTTAGCCGAAAATAAACATCATTATCAACCTCGTGTAAGCTCATCAAAGCAAGAATACATATCTCAGCATTATATACGAGTTATAGGGATAATAGTTGCATAATGCACTGCACCACTATACCTCTGCAAACATAAAAATATATATATCTTTCTACTTCTGTTCAGCAAACACGAGGTGCTATTTTTCTTTATTTATAAAAATATATGGTCGTCAGTAACTGATAAGCCCCATAAACACTTGAGGAATGCCTGGCACCTGCGTTGGAAGCACCATATTAAAAGCATTAGAAATAAGATGCTTCACACCAATAAAGTGATGCTCATTTCGTCTCTACATCAATCTCAGGCAACCAGATCGCTCTGCTGCGAGGCAGGGACAAATGCTTGTGCTGGAGTCTCCTCAATTCATACTATGAATACATACGTACATGGTTATCACAATCCACTGCTTCCTACAATTTTCACGGTAGGGTATTATGCGAAGTCGTCGACAATGTACTACGCCAAAATTAGCTGAGAGAAGGGCGAAAAGAAGAGCGCGCATGGTGTGGTGTTGAACGCGTAAGCTCTCGGAAAGAGTAATAACGTGTTCGATTCTCACCGCAAACACCTGCCACCCGGAGTTTTGCAAATATCTTAGCATCATTGTGGTTGACTTAGATGAATACCTGGATGGTCTGTCTTCTTTGGTGATGCGGTCTCTGTACAATTTTCATTTGTTTCTCTCTCGCACAGTCGTTATCCATGATAGTGGACTACTCCGGAGATGGTGATGTCAGCAAGTGACACGCTGAATAAAAGGATTACAAATTGTGCAGCTGCCAGAATAGAAGGGAGTGCAAAATCTCCTCCAGTTTTGATTTCACTTGATACAAATTCTACAGTCGAAACCGATTGTTGTGGGTTTCACGGGGAGAACTGTAAGTGTTCCGACTTCTTTAAAGCCGTTGTAACACTTAGATGAAGACGTTGAAACTCCTATTTCTTTCACTTTAACAGCGCAATGCATTCTTCATAACCGCGTCAGCTTACTAAGTAAAGTTTCTCTTAATATCATGGAAATGTTCCAAATATAATCTCTCAGTATTTCAAAACCGACTTTCCTTTAACCTCGGTATTAGCGATCAACATGTATTCTTTCTTGGTTTTGAAATGTTGCTATGCTCTTTGCTAGCTGATAGTGATACTGACTTCCGCATGATGGATTATCCAGGGAAAACAAGATGTAATAACCACACAATCACTACTGTCAGCCATCAGCATTCGGTATAAAAGGGCATCACCGGGTGAGTAGGCCTCATTCGAGAGATTGTCCGCTGAGGAAGACACAACCCGAGAGGAAGTTGAGGACCCTAGATCGAGGCGAAGAAGGACCGCGTACTCTCAAACTCTCACTCACTCTCTCAAACTCGGATCATCGACTCCGATGAAGACGAAGACGTCGAAATGTTAGCAGAATAAAGTTGTTTATCAACCTCGTGTAAGCTTATCAAAGAAAGAACACATAACTGCACGCTTTACAAGAGATCAGATAGACTGTACTCGAACTCATGCAGTTACCGTCTCTACCATTGGGGCAAATTATGCAATTTTGCGCTGCACATAGAGCGGCGGTTACGAACGAGGTGGTGCCTTAGATTACTCGGTGGCATTTCAATTACCGTTACCGAATTCTCTAGACCGGCCCTTCTTAAACAGTGTTTTACAGCAACATTTACTTCATTTGAAATGAAGGGCAGTATAAACGGGGCCTTATTGTCGCTAGAGTCATATATATATATAAAGGGTAAAGCTCTCGGCCCACTGGAGTTACTTGACTAAGAGGATTACTGCTGATACAGCCAGTTTGTCACTCCATCACTCTCCCACACACCAAAAACGCCGTTGTGAGGAATGTGTTTCGAACAGCAGCAAGCGTTTTCACAGGACGGGAGGGGAATCGATAATACGAACCTTCAATGATAAGTAGCCATGGCTATTTCGTTAGTGCTGGTATTCCGAAACGGCTTGTTTCCATGTCGCGTCACTATCGTCTTATAGATAGCTAACATCCACCATCGGTGTGTCACCTCATGTCTTCTATCCACTCATCTTGCGAGTAAACCATTTCTTCTTCTCGTCGCCTTGAATTGATTACAGCACAGACACTCTACATGTTTGGGTGAAGGGCAATGAGAGAGCGGTGTTCATACTGTCAACAATGATAAAACATGTGTGAGCCCTTTCACAACCATTCATTCCTGTGGTGTTACTGCACACCCACATTCCTGCGGGGTAAAATGGTCGCTGAACGAAGAAGGGGTGCTCGAGATTTTGAACTTTTTATTGCTACTTTGCTTCATGAGTTAAACAAATCATGGGAGTGTGATCACAGGAATGATTACTTCTCATCAATGCAGTCTTCTTTCCGTGAATTTCGCATAGTATGGCCGTGTGGACTATGAGATACACTATTGTTTTGGTACTCTGCACTGAAGGCTGGCAACGACTGAGATGCACTACTGCCCTGGTGCTCTGCACCGATGGCAAGCAACGACTGGCAAGTAGCATGGACTAGCAACGAGAAGAATATTTGACGAGTTTTGGAATAAATACCTGAGCGATGTGGGTTTTACTGAACCTGGCCAGACATCTCGAAGAACACTATTAGGTCGTTCACTTGTCCTAATTACATACAAATGACAACCACTATGAAAGGGATATGTTTTCAGAAAATTTTCGACTTTCGATCAGAAATTTTTCTCATGATGAAAACCTTGACGTTCACAGGCTCGGGTGAGATCATTTCAAAAGAAGGCCGAAAATTGAAGTAAGGAATCAACAAATGTCGTCCTACCTCTGTATTTTTTATCCGTCCACCCATGTGGATAATAGTCTCTTGATAGACTAAGATGGATAGGATTCGTTTTAGACACGTAACAGTTAACCAACGTAATGCAACGTCCCAGAACACCTGCCTTAGGCTTGTAGAAGCTGACCATCACCGGTGTACAGAACACTGATCAACGAAATTTCGACATATCAGTTTTACTTTTCATTTTCTGCCTAGTTCAATTTTCACGGGCAGGGTTTTAAGTAAAAACAACCACAACGTTGCTGAGATATTTGCAAAACTCCGGACCGCAGGTGTCTGGGTAGGGAACGAGCGCGCTACTAACCTTTCCGGGGGCTAACGCGCTCACCACCACACCATGTGGATCTTCCGTTCCGCCTGTCTCTCAGTTAGTTCTATCGATCTTTTGTCATCAACACTCACCCGTCAACGAGGTTGATCTGGGGAGCCCACATCGGCATTGAACCCAGTTCTGAGGCTGTAGTTGGAACCACAATGTTTTACTTTTTATTTTCTGCCTAGGTCAATTTTTGCAGCAGAGTATTAAGCGAAGTGGTTGTGTGAATTATTTGGTCATTTGAGAGAGTCCAGTTGCATAAACAAATGCCCGACGACTATCGATCTTACTTCCGTGCCGCCTGAAACGACGTTCATTTTTCGGTACAGTGATGGCCTGGCTTTCCAGCAATAAGCGATCGTCATCCGATGGGTGGAGGGCCTAAAGGGTTGAGAACATTGCCGAGGATGTGCAGGAGATTTTGCCCAAGTGCTCTGTGGGTGTGAATAGCACGTATGCCGCTGCTCCCCACATATTAGCATGCTCCCTCATAGTAGCACATTGCTGTCAGGATTTGTTCATGATCCGTTATAACGGCTAGAATTGAAATAACAGTCGATTGCCAGTCAAATTACGGTCAATGAATTCCTTGAAGCAAGAATAAGTTTTCTATTAATATCTAAGCGCGGCATTGAGCTTTTCCTAGCTGATACCCGGTATAACATATGTGTTGAATAAACTATCGATTAGTTACCACAAGTTTAGGAAAAGGGTTTTGTGCACCAAGACATACGTGGAGAAAACATTCACGAAGAATATTCTCTAACATCCATCTTACCAAATTCTTCCTACATTGTCATTTGGTACAAAACTCACGTGCCTGCCGTGGATCAATACGTATCCGTAACCACCAAGCAGGGTAGGATAAGCTAATGACTTGACCTCGCTACCTTCTCCCATATCAACCATCAATAGCGTCAGGCCATTCGCTTGGGCACTACTCACATTCGCTATACCTACCTTCTTCTTTATCTCATGAAATGGACTTTGTTGTGCTATCTATTTAGATAAGCCGTATTTGTATTTACACTTCGTACGTCATAAATTTAGCGCACAGACCACTACGTTATTACTAGTGTGATTTCTTACCTATACTACTTCAGTCCATTGAACCACCTTGCTATGTAATCTACTATGCATATATTTGGAAAATTACCTCCACAGAAATCACACAGGCAACAATGTCCGCATATCTGTGTCTCCCAGAAGGAGGTCATGTGGTCTCGGATGTCTCACCCATATGACGTCCATTGGTAAACTGCAGGACTACTCTCGAACTTGTCACCCACTACATTTACAACGCAACTGCGCAGATGTGTTATGCTCTTTGTGATACCTCTGCAGATAACTCTGCACGTGCTCAGCGATATAGGCGGGGTCTGGAGTGCTGTTTTCATGCAAAATAAAAGATCGATTGATCAATCATAGTCAGTGTTCTTTGGGCAGAAAACTGCAGTGTCAGTTGACAATGAAGGTCCTATTCGTTCAGCTTCTGGAACTCGTTTCATGAGACGGTTCTAGCAGTAGTTTGTGCATCGCTTCGTATGTGCTCACTTCACTTCACTGCAATGCCTTTTGCACTCGGGATAATTATTGGTCACCTCTGAACCACATCAAGTCAGAGGATAATTTGATCTGATAACGCCGATAATAACGGTGACAGTTCCATGAAGTTCCAAACCGGTTACGCTGAACAAACAATCCGTTGAGTATTTGGCATGCCCCAGTTTTTTTTCGGTTTTCCAGACAACAGTGTGGACATTCGGCAAAACAATAGTAGGTCACGTGACGCAGGAGGAGGTTAAAAGAGCGCCAAATCCGAAACCACATTGCGCGCCGATCGATGGCCCCGACTAGCGACGGTCTGCGGACGGTCAGTGTCACGTCGGTCGCAACGGAAGAGGTTGTTGTTTCCCGTGGTTGCCTTCGTACTTGTCATCGAACTGGTTGTAAATGTGCAAAGAAGTGCTATTGTGTGTCTGTATCGCCTTCTGTACATTGCGAGAATGGTGCTTTCTTGATTTCGTTGTTACAACTGCTGTGCTTCTACTCCACTGTTCATTTTACTATTTCTTTCGTAATGCAGTGTTTTGAAGAGATGGAACTGTGGCAAGTGCCTAGAACGATGGGCAATTTGATGCGAGACACGTTACGTGATTTCGATCGTTTCGAAAGGGGAATGTTCCCATATTGGAGGGATGCCGATCACTCAGTTCTGCATGTGGCAAACGAGACCCAGCAAGTCCGTCAGCTTTGTTAGTTTCGTGCAAGTCGTACTCCAGAGCTTGATTCTAGGTGGTTAACGATGATAAGAAATTCGCCGTATCTCTGGACGTGTCGCAGTTTCGTCCTGAAGAGCTGAACGTGCACCTAGAGGGACGAGAGCTCACCATTGAAGGCAAACAGGAACACAAGAGCGAACATAGTTTCATGAACAGGTGAGTTAGGTTGTTTGGAAGCGTCGTTTATTTCCGATAGTGTGAATGCTATTTTTTCGTCATTAACGTCTTTTTTAGGAGCTTTTGTGTATGCTTTACCTAGTGTTCAACCACTGGTTTTCCTAACTATACACAATGTTGTGATCTTTCAGGTCTTTCGTTCGCAAATGGCTCCTTCCTGAGAATGTTGACCTTGATGCGCTTCGAACTCAACTTGATGACAAGGGTCATCTGCGCGTCGAAGCACCAAAAGTTGGAGGTGGTGGATCGAAGAGGAAGAATATTCCAATCATGGCTGCACCATCGAAAAACCATAAATAATGCGATTGCAGTTCTTTGTTGATTAACAGCTATGAAGTAAATGTGTGTTGTGGCTGTGTTGCACTTACATGGGTATTCTTATCGTACGTTGGAGCCCTACTGTATAAATTGAACAGCACAAGTGTGTTTTTTCCTTTTCTGTTGTCGTTTTAGGTTTGATGTCTTGAAGTCACATCGTTGATGGAATGTGTTTATAAGCAGAGACGTTTCGCCTTGAATGGCGGTACCGATACAATTTGATCCGGGTTCAACACTGCAATGTGCTATGTTTAGTTCCAAATCAATTTGTGCGCTTGGAGATTCATTTCGTGTGATGAATCGCTTCCGGCGGGAATGCAGAAGTTCGTTTCCAGATGCAAAAATCTGCGATCAGGTGAAGCTTGTATCTTCTACGCTCTCATCGTCCCAACGCAGCATCATTATCTCCGGAATCGGAGGTATTCTGATTTAAGTCCATGAAGCAGGGATTCTCTGTTGAAAATTCCATGGTATGGTTGGAGGTGTTATCGGTGTCTTTTGTTCCACAAAGCTGACAGGGGCGGGACGTATACATATTTGTCCTGGACGTTCTATTTTCTGCTGCGTTCTCCCTCTCGTCCGCGTTGAACGCTGTTTTCTGTCTGTGCCCTCTTTTAAAGATGCTCTGTAGTTGGTATTAATTACCAGCTGTTATATATGTACTGCAGTTAGGTATGGTGTCATTTGGGTGATTGCTGATGGCACTGATAGATAGAGAAAGAAAGACATGCGAGATGATGGACCCGCATGGTGTAGTGGTGTAAGCGTTACTCCCCGGAAAGGAGAATAGCGCGTTCGTTCCCCACCGGAGACATCTGCGGTCCGGAGTTTTGCAAATATCTCAGCATCGTTGTCGTTGTATTTCACATAATACCCTGGCGTGAAAAATTGTATTAGACATGAAATAGAAAGTAAACGTAGTAAATCCCACGACCGACTTTCTATTAACCTCGGCACTGATCAAATAAACGTAGTGTCAGTGCTTTCCGGTTCAACATTTTAATGGTCTTCATTCATTGCTTGTATAACTAAAGATGTTCTGACAGTGCGAAGAAGAATTCTCCGATGAGCAAGGAATCATCGCCAAAGTTGACAGCAGTACTATGTTCACCTCTTGTAGCACTAATATTTTTGTTATGCCCTATAGTAAACACTCGACACCTTTGGAGCGTGTTTAGCGAGACGCTTGGAGTGGTCGTTGGCTCGATCCTGCACCTTGGACTAAACAGTTATGTGAAAGCATGACTTCTGTAGGAATGTTGGGCCGTCGTTTTTCGGTGATTAACTTTGGCGCATTGAAATCCTCCCATACTTCTTACCATTGATCGATAGCTTATCCAAAGTAGATTACTTTAGTCGGCATCAGACCTGGAAACCTACTCTGTGCACAAAATGATTTACAAAGGGACCAGTTCATTTCGTAGGCGAACGACTGTTACTCATGAAGAAAGCGACTATTAGAAAGACCTTTGTCTTCCAGAAGGTGCAGCTTCGACTCTGCTGTACTTTGATGCTGAATTTCGGCACTTGTGAGAATCTTATCGCTCCAGTAAGATAGTAAGTCAAAGAGAAGACTTGCATAGGTGGATTGTTATACAGTCATATAGTGGATTTCATCAGCACTACCGTCATCTAAAGCGCTTTCAGTTCATCGATATCTCTTCAAATAGTGGCTCTTATTTATAGCACTTATTTTCATACTGTTCTACTCGTACTGTAAACATTGCACTTAAACACATTTATTTGGCAAAACTTTTGCGATTCACCCTTCTTACGCATCATTTAAAATCTTTGCAACCTAGAAAAACATACAGAATACGTAGGATATGAGAAACGTAGAATATACAGAGCGAAAATCACAACAAAAGGCATTGGCCTTGTGGCCGGCATGAGCGCTATAGACTTCGTAGCGAGTGCGCCGAACGGTTAAAGTCGTCCCATGCAGCTGCCAAAGTGAATTGGACGTTGTTGTGTAAGCATTAATGTGGCCGAATGCATGGCGCATTCTTCAAGAATTGATCAGTGCAAAACGCTTTATCCCTTTACCCTTTTATAGCTGAAAAGGGCGAATAAGTACCTCCTATTGGCACATCAACTAAAGTGTCCGCGCTCTTTATGTTCGCAATCCGTATGAATATAAATCTAAGATCGCACGTGTTACTGGTGCAGCGTCATAGATGTTCTATTTACTCCTATGGTAACGACAATTCCCATGTATAGCTACCCCGAATTGATTTGGATGAAAATATTCCACGAGCGATGTACAGCGGGAGATTCATGCCCCTGGAAGGGTCTCCCAAGCTGAGAACTCCGGTATTTCCACCAGGAAGCCCAAATAAGTGTAAACCAATACCGTCACCGTCCTGGTATCAAACTGTACGCATGGTGGTAAATCTCGCTCTGATCCACAAGGGAGGCGAGTGGAGACTGCCTATGGGGTGACAACCTGGAGAAAACTTTGGCCAGCTGACTTTGGGACTCTAGGTGAAACGCTGGCTAAACCAGTATAACTCCGAAAAACAGAAAATGCTAGGGTGCGCACAATCAGTGAGATCGTGTCGTCCAAGTATCGAGGTAAGTATTTTACGAATTAGTAAGAATTGCAGTGGTGGAGATGATGTTAACACCATCAGCAGTAATAAAACATAGCGCAGAACAAAGAATGGAGGCGCTCAAAATCTGGAACAAAAGGACTGACACTCCGACTCATTATATAAACAAATCATGGAAATGTGATTGGACCACTAGTAATCTTGAAGTTCACTATTAGTGATATCCTTTTCACCATGAAATAAGCGTAGTACAGCTACCGACACCGCGATATGTACTGGTGTTTCCGTACAGTTCAGTTGCGACTTGTCCAGATGCTTGTCCGACTGATAAAAAATGGAAGCACAAGATTTCACGATGTGAAGCTTCTGTGTTGTTCCAACTAATTATGTGAGCACACCATAAAAGTGTCCTTACAGACTAACTTTATTGAATAACCACTGGTCAGCAATACCTAGGAACTACACCATTACTTATGATTATTGGATTTTGGAGTCATGATAGGGATATTCTTTCTCTTCGATCCGCCATCGGCAACTTTTGGTGTTTCAATGCACAGTTGACCCTTGTCATCGAGCTAAGTTTGAATCGCTTCAAGGTTAATATTCTCAGGAAAGATCCATTTGCGAAGGAAAGATCTGAAATGTGCGGGCACTGTGTATAGTTGCAAGGACCCATGGCTGCACACCAACCAGGATTTAACGTACCGCAACAATCTATTTTAACGATGAAAAAAGAAGCGAAGTCATCTATTGACAACAAGTGATTCTTGTACATAATCTGACTCACCTAGTGATGAAAGTATTTTCGCTCTTGTGCTCCTGATTGCCTTCGATGGTGAGCTGTCTTCCATTTAGGTGAACGTTCAGCACTTCGGGACGGAATTTCAACACATCCAGGGACACGGCGAATTTCTTGTCATCGTTCACCACCTGGTATAAAGATTAAATGATTGTAACTACGGCTGTCTAAAAGTCAACGAAATAAGCAGCATCTGCTGAATCTCACTGGCTGCATGTAAGATTGGGTGATCGGCTTCCCTGCAGCAGTACAGCAACCCTCTTGCGAAGCGATCGAGATCTCGTAATGTTTCATCCATCAAATAGTCCTGGGCACTTGCCATAACTCCATTCTGAACACTGCATATGAAGGTTATCTCAAAATGGAAATTGTTACTACTAAATTTCGAGCCATAATTATCCAAAAAGTTAAGATTCCTCATCCTTAGGAAGAAGAGCAGAGGTCATAACAATCAGAAGTCAGCGTCACACACAATTTCCCCGACCGAAGCCTGACGTGTTAACAAATAAGAAAATTGACGTTACTTTTACCAGTGCTTTTAAGGAATTGAATTACAAAGTGCACGGATATCCAGATATATTTCACAGTCACATCTCCTAGTGAACAAAGCAATGTCTATCACAGTGGAGTCATAAGTTAACAAAGAGGTGAATAGAAGGAAGCGTTTGTAGCCCAAAGAAAGATAGCAGATGGGAGTTTGCATACCACTGCCAATTTCTCGTTCAGCTTATACAGCACTGCTGGTCACCCCTCTCCTCCCGTGGCAGCATCCCTAGTGGCTCCGATCACAGATTATACTTCTGTTTTCGTGCACCGCCAAGGGAACTCGTTCGAATTCTGTGGAAAGCACCGAAGATTGTCGAATGGAGTGCCATGTGTATGGCACCGAGAATTATGAAGCTGCTAGGAGATTTTGATGGATCAAAATCGATAACAGAGTTTTCATTTTCTATACGGATGAACGTGAGAACGAATCTCATGTGCTAATTTTATGCCATGCCAGAAGTGAAAATAGTTATCAAGTCTCTTTCATTTGCCTATTGTGCAAATTGGGGCATACTTTGGCCCGGCAGACCTCGTGATTCCAGGGAACCACAATGGCTTAACCAGCAAATCTCCGAAAAATGGAGGCTATGCTGGGGCCCGCACAACCACTGAGGACGGGCCATTCCAGTATCAAGTATCGAGTATGGTACAAATTAGCGCAATTGCGGAGTGCGTTGGAATAGGCGATGTTTTGCAGCTGCTGTCGCCGTCAACATGACCTACTACAATTCCTAATATTTTTCGGATTATTTATCTTTCAAATGAATGAAAATACTCTTTAAGATCATAAGATCACTGGATCGTTTTTTACTGGTACTACAATATCCCCCTTTTAACCACTGTGGTTATTCAAACAGCAATTCTGACATTTAAGGTAGAATCTCTTGTTTCTAGTTCAGATCTCTAGTTTAGAACCGAACACCGTTCTATTAGCGCTTGTCGACCATGGCGACTGCAGGCGTCCTATATAGGAGCTGTACCTAACATCTATCGCATCGAAAGAACAAAGGTTAAAGCCCTCGGCGTTGATCAATCCTTGAAGGATGCGCCATGCATTCGACTTGATTAAGCATCGCTTGGAGCTGACTGAATGTATATCTGGCTTTTACAATGACTCGTGGTGGCCTACCGATTTATCGAGTCAGTGCTGCTATCCTCCCAGACAACTCTGATACCTATTTTCCGATATTTTCCGACCCCGAAGGGGTGAAAGGCTTGGTGGGCCAGTGGCGCGGCGATCGATCCCATGTGTGTGTTGCACGGCGCCTCCGACTACTGCGCCACACGCGTCACTTTTTTTCATCTTTCTATCGCATCTAAACCATCAAAATATAACTTCATCATTGAGTCCTTATCACCCCTTTCGGCAGAGTGGGTCTGAAAGTGCGTCACCATCTGGTGAAAGCTGTTTACTGCCACAACGCAGTCGATAAAGTAGTTACTCAATTGGCTGCGACGTGATGTGAATGCGCAATGATGGAAATTCTCTATTCATTCCTTGTTTTGCAAGACCACACCGTCATCTATTCTAAAAATGCGAATTATGGAAAAAGACCACATCGAAACAGAAGAAAGAAGAAGGCTGCAAAAAAACTGAAAAACCGCGTTCATGAAAGATCAGTGGTTTTGCGGCAGAACGCCATCCTACCCACGTCTGACTGTCGCGTTCGGTGAGTGTACGAAAACAAAGGACGGAGAAATTTTTATAGAAGAAGTTAAGCATAATGGACTGCGTTTATGACTCTTAGGGAAATCATAGGCCAAAAGACGGATCAAAACGCACTGCCCTGACTTCGTTGGCACAACGATTCTTTCAGCTCCCTCCAATACAGGTATTATCCGAGTGGACACCCTATGCATGTCGAATTCCACACATGTCTCTATGAGTATTGGTACCAAGGCATAGAAAAATGGTGTTCAAAATATGAAGTTGGAGTATAACAAACATAACAAGGCGAACTATGCATCTCAGATATTCGAACTTTTTTTTAATCTGCCCATCAGAATAACTAGCGTGTATAGGGCGAAAAGGTGAGGAAACGAAATGAGATATTCACGAAGCGACATAATCTTTAGGAATAAGAGATCACTGGGAAGAGGATTCCACCACGGTAAAATTGTGTCATTACTTTTCGTGTACTGAAGGTTTGTGGATATGCTTAGAATAGGTCTCTTGCATCCTGAAAACGCGCTACAAATTCTTCTCTGGTTTCAGTTACTTTTCGAAGTCAGCAGTTGATATGAAAGAACAAACTGGGTTGGAACTCAGCCTGAGAGAAAGTGAAGGGTTACGATACAGTGGGATTGTACTCAAAAAAAACTTTCTTTTCGCTAACTATTTCTATCGTAACTCGTAATGTTTGAATCACCAGTGATTTTGTACAATGAGATTTCTACTGCATTAATCGATTTTAGGGTTAGCCATCTTAAATAAGTAAACGGAAGATCGCTTGGTATAGGATAATACTTTGGGGATTGCCATGAGTTCGAGTGCTTCAAGCTCCGCATAGGTGGATGCAGGTATATTTGGTTTGCACAAGATGCTTAATGAAGTCGAATACATTGCACACCCTTCAGGGATAGATCAACGCCGAGAGCTTTATCCTTTTTATCCTTTTATTACAAGAAATACCGAAACACATCTGCATCTGCGTGGACCTATGGGGCCACTTTCCAACCTCTGACTAGAATCGAACGTCATTATATTCTTGAACAAACATAATCGAAGGGAGAAAACTACTCGTAGAGTAACATGACACATTATAATTGAAGAAGACCACAAGACATTTAGAAAAGGAGTGCTTGGCACGAAGAAAAGCAAAAAGCGATGAATGCACAACATCGCCAAGTACCAACGTCACATTCTGCACAAATTTAAGATCGATCTTCACCATAAGTAGCCTTCTAAAGAGTGCACTAAGTATTAAAGAATTGATAGCATAAAGAGGTCCAACTAGTTGAACAGGAATCCCAGGCTCGTCCATCATTCAGTCCAATATTGCGGCGAAAAACCGTTCTTTGAAAACCTTTAGATATCGAATACTTCTCAGAGATCATGTGACGCGGTAAACTTTAATTAATTGAACAGAATTCAAGCTTCTATCTCTCACACCATCACGAGGTTTTTTGAAGTGCGGCTATCATGGTTAGATCGTAAGAAAAAAGATGACAACATTCGAAGAATTCGTCGCAGACGTGCATCGACAGCTATTCAACTCCAACAACAAGAGATCGGCTAAGCAACGCAAGAACGATAGCTCTATGGTATAAGAAAGGAGAGGATATTTGTGTATTTTTTGCATGCCCAACACGTTTACTTCTTATACAAAGACGATGAAAGGATAAAAGGATAAAGTCTCGGCGTTAATCAATCGCTAAGGGAAGGGCCGCGCATTTAACTTTATTAAGCATCGTTCGGAGGTGACTGAATGCGTATCTGGGTTTTACAATGACTCGTGGTGGCCAACGATGTATCGAGCTAGTGCTGGTATCCTCGCAAACAAATCCGGTAGGAATTTGCCGATCCCAAAAGGATGGAAGACTTGCTGAGTCATGGCGCGAGGATCGATTCCACGTGTGTGTTGCAGGGTGCCTCCGACCACTGCGCCACATGCGCCCAAAGGCGGTGTGACGGCTGAATTTACATACAGTATTTTAACAGATCGATAAATATGCTTGTTCCAGTATGTTTTAAGAAATTTTATTAACGTTGCAAATTTCAAAATTGAGCCCTTGGATAAATTTTATTTTGTGGATTTGGAAGAAGTGTAAAACGCATATAAAGGAGTGAAAATGTAGAAAAATAGCGTATAGCAGAATATGAAAGAGACACCGGTGTGTTCGTGGGGTGGTGTGGGCCTCTGAATCGACGGAGTGATTTAAACCTTTCATAGTGTTGCTACGTGCATAGACTTGTGTCTGTCTATACCGACTGCACCCTCCATAAAGATCTCATGGAGTGCCTGGGCAACATAGGCGAGAAAATTCCTGATCGACTCCAAAAATTAAGGCCAGCTGACTCTGGAAGAAGATGAGAAGTATCCCTTAGCTGCGTCTAGCACTTAATGTTAAGCCCCATGAGCTACTCTTTGCCATCTGGTCACCAAAATGCAGTGTGAAAAAAACAACACATTGAAAACGTAATAGTTTTCATATCCACTCATTGAGTGGAGTTGATTGGATGCTTTATTCTTTTCCCAGTTCAAGTTACTAGAGAGTATAAGGGATTAAGTGATACAGATAGTGGTTGCATATTTTATAGGCCGATCGTCTCATTATCTTTTATGCTATGCCGTTTATTTCATCAATATATTCCACTAATGTAGAGTCGTAAGCGGTTAATCCATCCAATACTATTCATACTACTTAGTCAGATAATTCGATGACGCGTCTTCACGAATGGTGCGTGTTCCTGTATATCTTCTATGATCATTGTTGTCTTGCAGTTGTTATCCATGGAGGTGGTCGACTTCATATATGAACTCGGTTGGAACGTGTGGCTCATGTATTTTCACTAATTAGAATGACGAATGCTGACCGAGTGTGACTTTCTCTGGAAACCACGACTACGCCGGTTAGGGCGTTCTCAGGTCTCCCCCACAGAGTTTATAGAAGTTCTTAAGTTTATAGAAAAGTTTATAGAAGCAGGGAAGTCTGTTTCCTTGCGATCTAGTTTCTTTCGGGATGACAATGCTTCGTGTGATGGCAACGAACCCTACAAGTAGTAGACAGACCGCTCAAATAACGAA